CGTCTTTGTAGCTTACCACGGAGAAATGTCACGCGACTGTTATTGCCACCTTTGCGTGTGGTCACATCATTCTAAGTTTAAAATCTCGCGGTTCTGACGTCCACGTTCGTCACGCTTTCTATTGTTTTTCTTATTTATTTGTTTAATTGCTAATTTACAGGTATTAAACAATGGTGTAATGTTAGTTTCTAGTTACGTTTCGGGGTGTCATGCGTAAATTATTGTGACTTTTATGTGACACAATTGTTCATATCATGTGTCACTTACTTTGTGTTAAATACAGGAAAGTGTAGTTTAGAAATTATATAGTAATTGTACCTTTAAATGATCGTATTGTGCTATAATCATAGAATAGTGTACACGAATCTCATATGTATGTTTAAAACACTTGTGTTTAACCATACATACGAAATTCGTGTACACCGTTCTAGTAAACAATTATAATTGTATATACGTACATGTACAGGTGTACGTTTTTAACGTCATTTACACAATGTTCTTTACATGCGTATACAAGAACAGTGTATAATAGTGTATAAGAACCTTGTAAATATGATTACAAGTATAAGAGCAGTGTACAAGAATCTTGTATAACTTATATGATTATAATTGTTATGAAGTGTTGTAATCGAGCGTGTACAAGAATGATATCGCTTCTTGTACACTAAGAAACAATTGTAAGGAATAGCATTTACAAAATTTACAGTTTTCTAAGTATAAAATTTCAAAAAATATGTACAAAATTAGTATAATTTTCTCAAAAACTTGATTAATATATGTATTGTACAGTACTACACGTTAGGTTTGTATTATAACGTAACTATCAAGCACATTATAAACCACTTTTTGCACACAAGTAAAATATGATGTATAAAATAGCTCAAATTTCCGAATAAATAATAAAATCGTGTACGAAAATCATAATAAAAAATTAAAAGTTCCTGAAAAGGTACAAGAACTTTAATATTTTTCTCTGTTTGTACAGTGACACCTGCCATAGAAGCTCACTAATTTACTAAATGTATACGCGAAAACCATTGAACAGTAGAAAAAAAAGGATACATCTGGCATACGTAAAGTGTACGTAATGTACACGTACAAGTCAACAAAAGTCATTGAAAGGTATCGGAAACACGCATCACGTGATCTTTCTGGTTAGCGAAGCGAGAAAGTTACGTAAAAGTTTATTGATAATAAAGGTGTTTAACAAGAAGAGAATGAGAAACAATAGACAAGGGAAATTCCATCTTCTCCTGTTTACAGATCTGCATCTCGCAGGTGTTTACACAGCTACAGAGGAAGCGTACATTTATCTAATGGATACACAATCTACACCCATTGAATTCCTCGTATTCGATTACACCATTTCAGCATTTGCTTGTAGAAATGTCCTTGTGTTTCTGGTATTATGACGAAATTCAAAAGAAGGAGTGTGTGCACGTGAAATAAGTCTCTTAAATCGATCCGTTTAATGTTATCTTCCGCTCTAATTTGTTAAAGCGACCACTTTCACGTGACGGGTGTGATGTAATCATGAGGGTTATTTTCAGTGATGTATCGTGTTTCTTGTGTGTAACTAAAACGTTATTGGTCACTTGATGCTTGCATGGACAAAAAAGTTATCTGTATGAGGTATAGTGAGTATACAATGTCATAGAACCTGGTTGTTTACTGGGTATAACATCATACATCTTATGTGGAGGGTCAAATATACAGGTAACCTGAATGATTCATAGGCGTATCACATGAAGTACCATAAAAAAATCCGTGTATTGTACTATATAGTGAGTATACAGCATTATATAACACTTCCAAGAGGAGCAAAGCACACATGGAGGTAACATAGAGTCCTATACCTCAACCTGTATGATTCTGTACAGTGAGCATACAAATTTATGGAAAAGTAGATTATCTGTATGATGCTGTATATACTGGGTGCAGTGAACTTACACGTCACAGGGAGGTTTGTTAAACTGACTTTTATGTTTTTCCCTTTAGATAAACATAGTGGGACACGACAGTCTCCTCACGTGTTATTTATTCAACGATTACTCAAACGAACAAGAAGAGGGGTTGAAAAACTAGGGGTAAAGGGGGGCGAGGGTAGGGGTGGGTGTAGGAGATCAGATAATGGTTACAACCCAGGCAAAAACCAGATGAGTAATTTCTGCTGATAGAAATTGGAGACCGGTAATGAAGTATGGCGTAGCCGCAATTACAAGTAAAACAGACAGTTGAGTCACACCGATCACAAAAGCCAGGTGATGTCCGCACGTGCTATCCTTCCCTAACCACGTGACTAGATAAGTAAAACAGTCAGGTCGATGGCTGAACTTTGATGAATGGCCTCACGCACTGGTGAAGGGAGGCATTTGAAAGAGGGGGGTGGGTTTGTTGGTCGCTCGACGACGTCACACACACACTACTTTCGATCTGTCATCGGGGCTTCGATCGGCGCAGATGTTTGTATTTACGTCATAGTTACGTAACAGAGCAACAGAGGGTTGGAAATGAAATTTTCAAGATGGTGGATACCGGTGCCATAAAAGGGATTATCGTGGTTCTAGTGACTAAACGGGGAGATTTGATCCAAAAAATCGATGGGGTTTTTTTGTTCGTGTGTTAGAAATTCAGTAGAAAAGTAGTAGGAGACATTCAGTAAGATGCAGAGGAGTGTAACGTGCATCGAATTGCATCATCGGAAAACTAATTAAAACGAAAAATCTATCGTAAAGTAAAACTTAATGTTTCTTCTTTCGACTGGAATAAGCAGATTAATTATCAATTTTATCTTGTAAATAAAATAAAAATACTTTTATTCTAATAGTGGATTAATGTAAATGTAGAAACAGGCGATTAACTTTCATTTGCCAGCTGCATTTTTCTATCGGAATCCTATACTAATGTTGCTTTTCTGTACGGTTTGACGCTTTTGTACTTTGTACAAGTCATTTCAGTACATTAAAATCATCTCTAGTACCTTTTAAATATTATCTCAAAGGCCTCTACACACAAATTTTATCTTGTATATGCCAATAGAGGATCCAGAAATTTTAGAGGTGGGTGCAAAAAGGGCACAATACGCCTTGCAAATTTTTTTACTGCCTGAGACACTCGGGGGAAAATTCCCAGAAGGGAGTGCAGCTGCGCTCTGCCCACCCCTAAATCCTCCAAATCATATTTTGTAGATGCAATTCATCTTCATCTTCATCTTCAACCACATTCAAAGTCTCTTCTGTAATTAGCCCACTTTTCTAAACTAGACTTTTAAAATAATCAAACTCTTCTGTAGACAGTTCTTTATCTTCCACAATAAAATTGCTCCTCTGTACCTCTGCTAAAAACCAGATCATCTCTACATCTAAAATCATTTCTTCTATATTTAACCTTCCTTTACAATAAATCCTCTTCTGTAGAGCTAAATTATCATTTTGTACAAATAAATCTTCTACATCGAAACATCCGTTGTTGTCTCCGTCCAAACCCACTTCTTTTACATTTATAATACTTTGGAAGTACAAAAGATTTGGGTGTAGAAGAATAAGGTTTTTGAAAGACGAATTTATACTGGAGATATTAGGAAATAGTTTGGAAGTACAGAAGAAGATTTTGATGTAGAAGAAATATTTCCTACAATCTCCACTACAAATTCGTCTTTCGCAAACCCTATTCTTCTGTACTAAATCGTCTTCTGTACTTTCAAAGTATCCTCTATAACCTCCACTACAAACTCTCCCGTTATTCAACATCCAAACTTTCTTCTGTATCTGCCTCTTGTACAGTACACGTGTACACCGGAATTCCCTTGTAGAAACGTTCTTCTTCTTAAAAATCCAATTCTTCTCCTTATAAATCAATGAGGTGTTACGAAACACCAAAATGTAAGTAGCAATTTTCTAACGGTGACTATTTCCCTATCAGTCGATGAGAGAACAACCCACAAATATTCACTCGTTACTAATAGAGTCGCAGTATTTCTCCACGTACAGTTGTATGTGATACAAGCGACATTGCTTTATCTAATAGCGTGTTTCGACTGTAATTTTCCTCATTTATCATGGATTGTCCTCGCAAAGAATGCACACAAGGTAGCCTATAAATCGATAACGAAAACTACACTCTTCCATTCTGACTTCCATTTGTATAGAAGGTTTGATAAATGAGAAACGATGCAGGGGGGACCACTTATGATTTTCAGATATTTTGATTAATTGATCCTTCGATTTAAATATATATTTATATATATACGCACACACATAGCTTTTGACACTTTTTTCCAGTGTTACTAGTGAGGAAATTTCAAATATTATTGATATAAACGAGGGTTTGTTGGAGGTGAGAGGGTGTTAATGTGGTGCTGATGATGCCACGCTTAAGTAAATCCAGAAGGAAGATCGTTATTGTACATTGTTCATCATACAGACGTGAGGAAGTACAGAAGAGCCGCGTGTTCTTAAGGGTGAGGAACTTAACACTATGATAAAATTCTAGTGTGATTAAGGGGAATGGTAATAAGGGGTGAGATTTACATTTTTATGTACTTTAAGATATATTTCTACTACGTAGCTATGAGGAAGAACACATAAGCAACGTATATTTCACATAGCCTGTAACACCATTGTTGAAAGGATACATAAGTATGCATTAGCATAATTACACGTCGATACGTGTACAATATACATAATTACACATCTATAGAAGCGGTACAGTAATACACCCTCCATATGAGAGCACTGGCTAATTAAAGATCACTCCAAGAGACATTTCCATAACGTTCCATAAAATGGTTAATAAATCAACACGAACTCACATAGAAGAAAACACACGTCACAAACTAAAGAAGGAAAAGTCAAATATAATAAAGAACGAGTCGACAAACAGACGGACCACGCGAAATTAATTTACGTTTGATTACGAAAGTAGTAATAAGAAACAAATTGGATATATTATTAAGTAGATATTTCAATATTGGTGTAAGAATGCCGAGCACCCCAGACAATCTGACTTAATTAGAAGAAAAAGTGGACATTGGCGCCAGGGAAGAAGCGAAAGTGAAAGCGTAGGAACAATCGATTAGGGGTAATTTTGACCAGTGAGGGAGCCACCGTAGCTAGAGCAGGAAAGCACATCCAACAACTGCCAACTCGACTGCCAACCTTGGAAGGTGGTACATGTGTCCGATGTATCTCACTGCTAAGAATTCGCATTAGTGTGCATCAACAGAACTAAAGCACCAACCACCCTTAAGGATGAATACAATACTTTTTTGGTACATACTTTTTAAAGGTAAGTTTCTACTTTCTCTTTTTTCCCTCCCCCTTCCAAGCCCTTAACTTTCTCAAATATTTTTCTAAGGTATACTATTAAGGCTCTTAAGAGTCATTTTTGAGAGGGGGTATCGATCGTTTGAACATTATCAACATCATTAGTTTTCGTGTTGACTCGGTACAAGATCGTTCTCCGTCTGTACAAGAACGTTGACTCGTTTGGTAAACATTGACACAAGCTTTTCTGCACGGGGGGTGGTACATGGGCGATTTGACAACGCTCCCGTGTTGTAATTCAGGCACGTGCTTTACTTCTCTTACCTCTACACTTCGTAAACTAATCTATGCGTAGGGCATTAAATTTTGGTCAAGGTTAAAAAACAGGAAGACGTCTTTCAACCTTGACACTTGTCAAAATTTTCTCATTTATTCACGTGCTCCCCCCGCGTGATGTGTTTCTTCTTATAGATAATTAGGAAATGGCACAGATATACAAGTTTGATCTTCGGTTGTATTCTAAATACCTGTTTACGGGGGGATTTTAGTATTTTTTTGTTTTTTTTTATTTTCCTGCGTTGAAATTTGAAAGGAGAGATAATATATTTATGCAAATTTCTTGCGTAGGTTTGTTTAATGTGATCGAATGAATGTTTTCTAACGTGTTTTTCTTCCTAGTTTACATAATTTGCATGTGAATAACGATGGATTTAGAAGGGTTACTGAATGTGAACTTAACTAACGATTGTGTTTTTAAGAAATTTACTGAATTTGGGGGATTTTTTGCGTTTTTTTAATGTGTGGTGGAATACAATAAAAAAATTTAAATACGTAACACAAGACGGTAAAAAACTGTATTAAAATGACAAAGGTTTATAGTGTTACGCAGCTTTTACTATAGTCTAAACATTACGATCTTTGAATGTAATTCTGTATCGTAGCTGTTACGCAGTTACGTACTGTGTAAAACTATATTTAAGCATCGTAACATTAAACTACAAGAAAACTCTATAATGTAAATTTTTTGTATTTTTTTAACGCGTAACAAGCACTTTTAAATACGTAATGTAGGAAAAAGTCAAGAAAAACACATTAAAATGTATAGCATTATAAAGCTTTTTTTAACATAAACGTAACGATGTTTGAGTACAACTTTACGCGTAACGAACTGCGTAACGGCCACGATTTAGGCGCCTTATATTGGAACATCGTAACTATAAAAAAAAGCTGAATCACATTGCAAACTTTTTCTATATTAACGTGATTTTCTTGATTTTTTTCATATAAAATTCTACAACTCCTAATTTTAATAAGTGGAAGGATACAAAATGCAGGTAACACATCCCACATAGAAAAAAACACATAAAAATACATTTAAAAAATCACAAAAATTGATAAAATTACGCAACGTTTTTTCTAGAATGAACATTACTATATTCGTACGCAAATCGTAACTATTACGTAGTACGTAACACGGGTTATTTCCTTATAAAACCGTGTAATTGTTTAGATTTTTTTAAAGCTTCTAATACGTAGAGGGATGGAACAAATACTCCTAACATATCTCTAACACAGAAAAATTGATGCCATTAAAGCAGATTTCTTTACCAGAGTAAACGTAACGTTTATACACAACTGCATGCGTAACGAGCAGCGTAACAATTACGACTTAGGCGCGTGTTTCGATACGTCATTCAGATTTTTCATTTGTATTTCGTTTTGAAAAATGGCACGCAAACGATTCGAAAAGAACATAAAAATCTTCGAAATCAATCGTAAAAATGTTGAATGCGTAATAAAAACACGTCACACCTCGTGACAAACCTCATAATACCCAATGAATTTTCTGTTTACTTCTCGACTTTCCGACCCCCAAAAAACCGAAAAAATTCAATAAAAAAATAGGGAAACGAATAAATTTCTCTGCTTCAACATCTTCTTCTTCCTCCTCTTCATCTTCTTCATGTGATTAATTCTTTACAGCTTCAACACTGCACCATTTGTTACCTGAATTACCAAGCGAATTGCTGTTTTCTAATGTGTGGAAACTTTTTAAAATAGCTTTTCGTATCCATAATTCAAAAATATCTTTGCAATATGAAGTTAAAAATGTTCTTAAGCATGGAAACGTTATCCCGAAAACGTATAAAATTTTACTACATCTAGATTTATGGAAAATATTCATGACTTTTATACACGCGACTAGACGCGACGGCGCGTCGCGCTTCTTTTACTTTTACAATTTCTTTAATATTTCGGGTTTAGATTGGTTAAAATTATAACTTTTTGATTTATTCGAATGTGTAAATAGGGTTTTATTCAATGTTTTATTTAATAATTTATTATTTTTATGTTTGTTTATTTTTATTTTTTGAAATAGTTCTTTCGCTTCTCCTGGCGACGCGACGAGACGCTTATACTGTACTTCACTTTTTTTAGAGTTTTGTATCTAAATTTCACATAAATTTGTTTTTTTTTCTAATTTTTGATTTATTTAAATATATAGTAAACGCTCATTAAAATTTTATTTTTCTATTAATACTAATAATTTAATTTTTTTCTGAAATTGCTCTTTTGCTTCGTCGCTTGCGATGACCCTACGCAAAGCGCTGTTAATTGTAATTAATTTAATAATTAACTTTATAAATCTTATTTTACATTAAAAATATGATTTTTAATTATTTAATACTGTTTAAAGTTGTTTTAAATCGAATCGATTTGATTTTTATTAAAATAAATACTAATTTTATTTGGAAGCGACGCGACGGTACGACGCGTCGCGTATTACTAAAAATAGCTATTTTATTCGTCCCGGTTATATATAAAAGAGTTAATTTGTATCTTTCAAAAATAAACGTTTTTCAGATGTAGAGCGTTACAGACAGGCAATAAATTAATAATTAAATATAAAAATTCATTTTAAAATTAACTTTTAAATAATTTAAAATTCAAAAAGAAATGGTTCAACGTTTTTAAACGTTTTCGTAAATATAACACGAGCAACGTTTTTGATAACTTTATAAAGTTAAATTACTCTTTAAATATTTTTATAATAGTTTCAACGTTTTCTTGATGTTTGCATAGATTTTTTTTGAAATTTTCTTTAAAGTTAAAGTTGTTAAACGTTTTTAAAGTTATTATTTAAATCTTTCAAATTAAATCTTTCAAACCCAATTAAATTATTAAACATTTTGAATATTACAACGTTTTTAAATATTGTTTTCATATAAATAAACTTATCAACGTTTTTAAAACGTTTTTATGTGCGTAAGTTGCTTAAACATGAAAATTCTCACGATAGTTATTAATAGTAATTAATTAATTAACACTTTCACAGTGTACAATGTTTTTAATGATTTTTAAAAAATGTAGATAGTCAACGTTTTTTGAAAATGTCAACGTTTTCTATAAAGAAATAAGCCGTTCGAACTCGTTAGCATCATCACGGCTGTTAACTATAACAAGCACTTTTGAGGCGTACAACGTTTTTAATTTTTTGTATACGAGTGTGCAGTCAACGTTTTCTTAACATTTATGTGTTTTCCGCAGCTTCTGTAATTCTATATCATAACCGTAATATTAATATTTACTCTTCTATTAATATAACAAGCGAGTTAAACATCTGCTCTTCATACATTTGTACAGTTGTTTGGCTTTGGGGTTAAGGGAGGGAGAGAAGGAAAATATACGCACCAAATATGGTACAATGGTCCAATTAATGGCGGGAAAGTAATTAGACCCTCAATAAAAACATTTCTTGTCACTTTTACAGTGTTTTCTCCTTTCATTAGTCAACTGTTGGAGGGAGGAAAGACACGACGTCGTTCCCGGAATCCAAAATTAGAAAATTGATGTAACCTTGAACCTTCATAACGTCCCCACTTGCGACGTTAATAAACGTACATTACCTATCGGCAATTATAAATTTCGATGAAAAAAATCTTTCTATAAACGTTGTTAATTGCTTTTAAACTCAATTAAATTAATTTTTTTTAGAATTTGTGTGTTAAACGTTGATTAAAACCGTCCTCAACGCATTCCACAATTGTCAATTGTCAATCGAATTTTACTTCTGTAAAGATATCGAATGTAGATTAATGAAAACGTTTATCGACATCGAAAACGTTGAATTTGACGTTTTCACGAAAATGTTATGTAAAAACTTCATTGAAATCGTAAAACGTTGGCTGAAATCTTCCTTCACGTGCCACAATTGTTAAACCTATTTTTTAGTTTTATAAAGGAAAAAACGTAGATTAAAGTAACATTTTTTGATAACGAAAACGTTGACGTTTAAAGCGTTGATAAAAACGAATAGCCACGACTTTATACTGATAGGAGGTGGCATTTCACACAGGTTTAACCTCAATTAACTATTAAAAAATGTTAACCAAATTAGTAAAAACGTTGACATTATCCACAGCAATACATCTGCACGGAAATAACGAAAATTTTCATGAAAGTGAGCCAGCCACGACACATTTTTAGTTTTGTAGAGATGAAGGGGGGATGGTTACGAAACAGAATGTAATTAAGTACTCACGCACGAGCCTATCTTCATTTAGGAAGAAGACTCGCTTGTGTGTACTTTAATTATAATTAGTAACCATCCAAGTTGAATACTATCCTAAACGTGTCGAAATTCACTAAGTTACTTTATGTTGGTTACAGCGGTTACGCTTCTAGCTGTAAATCTATTTTCCTGTCTTTTTTTTTTTTCTTATTTTTCTAATCATGTTAAACGGCGTAACAAAAAACTTTTTTTTTAAACTTCCCTTCTGTTACGTGTGTGTGACGTTACGAATGCGTTATACGTTTATAAGCTAATTTTCTGTTTTAACGAATTTATTATTCGTCCGTCGTCTTGTTGTCTGTTAGAATATGTTACAAACTCGATTATGTTTGTTGTTACGCGTGTTACAAACCGCAATTTACTTTACGACGCTTCGTCTACGGCGTCAGAAATTGTTTAAAAAAATAAGGATTTTATTTTATTTGTTACGTTTTTTTTCAAATTATTTT